AGAAACTTTGAGAGCTGACAACAGACTTGGTAGCAAACTGTGGGCGTCACTGTCCTCCACAGTACTGTCATTAAAGCAGGCTGTAGGTGGAAGCTTGGAATCACCACTACTGAATAAAAAAAAAAAGGCATTCTATGGAAATATCTACATTAAGCTTTCCCTGGACTGGAACTCTGGGCTCCAGAGTGTTGAGTCCATTGGCTTGGATGTGCTGTGAAGGCAGACAGGCATCCCAATGAGCCAGAGGAGATGGTGGGCCACGCTCCTGGCAGTCTTATCCTGCTTATCTCAGAAAATGCTTCTGCTCAACTCCAAAGAGATGCTTCACTTCACACAGATCTTAGGATGTGGCAGGTCTGACTTGAAGCACTAATAGGCATCATTTGTCCCTCTGTAAGGGCCCTCAGCAGTGCTGCCCTCAGCTGATGGCGTGAGTGGGGGCTGGGTATGGGATGGTCTCACCTGGCCGGGTCCTTCACTGCTGCTTCCACTTCTGCTTCTTAAAAGCTTTGCCTGGCCCTAGGGGCCCTAGAAGGTTCTAAGATGTGAGCTCCAATATCTGCTTTGTGGTTTACCAAGGAAGTGTGCTATGTGACAAAAACATATCAGAAAGCACTCAACGCAGAATGAATGCAAATATTTTTTCAATAGAATATATTTAATTTTCTTTTTTGCTGCTTGTGCCTCAGACATGCAGCAATAATTTTAAGTTTAATTTTACCCCCTGCCTCCAAAGTAGTCTCTGGTCTAGAGTAAGATATTTCCTCTCTTTTCTTTTTTAATGTAACATTTGCATGGATACACTTGTAAAAAGAAATCAGATGTCTGAGAAAACAAACAAACCAATACAAATAATTCAAACTATGCAAAGACAGAAGAAAATAACCCACAAGAGAATGAAAAATGATAATTTCTATGTTTTCAATTGAAAAATAATTTTGGAAGAGGGTTGCCTTTGTATATAGTTGGAACACTTTCACCCAAAGAGAATTTAGTCAATATGTGCTAGCCTGTTTAAACAAAGGTGTTCCACAGAAGCATCTCTATCTTGATGATATTTTTAAATTTCAAGGTTTCTGTGGTCATTTTCTGATGAGAGAAGTAAAAAAAAATTGAAGAGGAGGGAGGAAGTACTGAAAAGCAGACCCTTATGATAGGAAAATATGTTTTACAGCATTTGCAACTCTGGAGGCATGGCAGAGACTTCTGAAAGGCTTTTGCTTTTATGCTTGTTTTTTTTCTTTTTCTAATGCACATCAGAAACACACTCAAGCTGTTTTCGGGAATTGGAGGTGTCCAGTATATTTCTCTGATCATCTCCAGCTCATTATAATGTGACCTGTGGGCCTGTGTGGTGCTGTGCCCTGCAGTTCTTCTGCTCCAAACACCCTAACTAGGGACTTGTTGCCACACGCAGACTGGATGGGACCTGCAGCAATTTTCTTTTGTGGGCAACCCAGAGCACAGACAGGGGGACCGGAGGCGCCTACTGTACCACGCCAGGGAGTTGGGCTGCTCCCAAGTCTCTCCATCTGAAATTCAAGCTCCATTTGCCATTTCCCCCCCAGCTTTATTTCAATTTGCATACACCTATGGTGGGAGAATAGATGTACTGTGCATAAATGTCCTAACTGGCACACAAACAAAGATGTTTATACATAAGCAAATTCATCCTTTGTTGGCTATTAGAGTCATTAGTCTCTTTCAAACACTTGAGTCGTTCCATTCATGGAGCAGCAAAAGTACCACTGACCTCAGTGACCCATCACAGACAAACCAGTGAGCAGACAGTGATGGAGAGAGAAAGCAAATTCGAACTTGAAAATAAAATGCATAAAAAAATCAATGAGCTTAAAATTGTTTGCATAAACTGTTTAAAGAATCACAACTCACAGTTTAGAGAAGAAATTCATTTTTTAAAGAAATTAATGACGAAGAATGAAGATCGAGTCTTGGTCTGAAGCTCATTGTAGTCAGTGGAAAGAATCACGGTTTAGTGGGTTTGGTGAATGCTTCTCACTTTAGAATCTGCTTGAAAAACCACAATTTCAAACCCTTTCAACTATGCAAGGAGATATGGACCATCTTTCCAAAACACTTAGAGATATCCAATATCCACAGACAAGGAAAGTCAGTTTGAAGAGATATGTTGGCACATAAGGGAAAAGGGGGTGTGTGGGGAAATGAAGGAAAAATAAGACATTATTTTCTTCATGTCCCTGAAGAGTGGGATGCAGGACAGAGAACATAAATTTAGGCCTGTGCTGCTGGGAACAGGAGAGGTGTCAGAAATCACACATTTTGCAGTGTGTTCCTCTACAAGAAAGTCCTTTGAGAGAAAAGCCTCTAAGTGTGTGAGCAGAACCCATAAAATTTTACACCCACCCCCCCAAAAAAGGAAGAATCAAGAGTCCAAGCCTGCCACAGAAACCTCGACCCTTCGTTTAAATTTGTCTGCAATGCTTTTACAAGACATAGGTTTAAAAAGGCTGTGTGCTTGCAGTAAAAAATTACATCTATAACATTTTCATTGTAGCAAGCTGTTCTTGCCAGTGCCAAGATATTATTTTTTATATACAACAGCATGCATATATAGTTTTAAAATTCTGTACAGTAGTTGCATACCAAATTCTTTGCTGTTTATATAATTTTTCATGTCAAAATGCATTCTGTGTTCCAGAAAAAAATGGAATATATAATATTTTAATCATTTTGCATAAATTGTGTTTACTGTGGGTTTAAAAAAAGCCTTTTCCTTCCAACTACCAATCTGATTGAAAACAATTATGCTTCTGGCACAAGACTCTGAGCTATATTCAGCACAAATTACATTTCATTCTATTATTAATAGATGTGATATGTGAAAAATGAAGATGTATGGCTACTTGTTTCTGTTTATAATTATAGCAATGCCATTCCTATTTTCCTTCTTTTATATATGCTTTTTAGAATCTTTGAGTTGGATATCTATGTGTTTATGATCTCTTATCCAAAGGGCAAAATGACAATGAAAATAAGAGCAGCTATCCTGTTACAAGATTAATTTGGGTGTGATAAATGAGTGTTTTTAGAATGAATTGCATAGGTTACCACTTAAACAGGTCTTGGCAGCAAACCAGCTCTTTTCCTCAAGAAAAAGGGGGGGAAAAATGTAGAGAATGTATAAATGAGTTGATTGCCCCAGGATGTCTCTCTCAAGAAGGATTAGAGAAACCTACTGGGGCATTTTCTATCCTCACAAAAGCACTATTTGTGCTACAAAAGTTCACCCCGATAATCATGTTACTACAGAAAAAAAAGAAAAAAAAGGGTTTTCTGCTCCTGTATAACCTCTTGTAAGACATTTGAAGTCATAGGACCCACAAAGTCAGCTGTGATCTGCATGGCTAGCCTATCTAAAGAGTGGGAGTGAGAGCAAGTTCTCTCAAATACTCTTCAGCAAGGACGTGGAAAGACACACAATATATTTTCCTGCTATCATTGAAAAAGTACTGTGAAATTGAACTGCACAGTCCAGACACAGCTTCATCAGGGCTGTGCAGGTTTTAACTTCCAGGTTTCAACTCCACAGTGTCTTTAGATTCAGGCTATGGTTGGCCTCACTTGTACATGGTAAAAAAAAAAAGCCAGCAGCAGTATTTGAAGGGCAGCTCCCGGTCATGCACATTCTTACTCCTAAAGCTGTTTGTTCCAATTGAGACACAGGGATTTCTGAAATGCCCAATCAGTTATGAGTAAGAATCCAGCATGGCTTAAGGCCAGTCATGATATACATTTGATGAGATGGGACATCTGTGTTTCAGTTTGGTCTCTTTATAAGAAATTTATTGGCAGGAATAAGTCTAAACCGGGTATGTGACAAGACAACTGGAATATTTTTTGGTGGAGCCTTGTAATTTTTCTTCCCTTTGCTTTGTTTTTCTTGTAAGATTTCTTCCTATAGCTATTTAATGAAGATAGAATATCTTCCTCACCTTGATAATCACATTTTTTCCTATAATCTTTTTGTACTTAAAACTTTAAAAGCTGCCATAGCTGTTCAGATCAAGAGCCCAGTTCCTTTCTGTGAAAAACTTCAGTGGACATTTATGGAAACATTATAAGAAAAATGGAAAGAAAAAGGGAACTATGTTCCCAGCAAAGTATAATCAGATTTTCTGAAGGCACAGCTGGTAGGGCTCTTCTTCATTTTTTTTTTTTTTTGTTTGGTTGGTTTTTTGTTTGTTTTTTTTGTTTTTTTTTTTGCTTTATCCCATTTATTCTTCACTTATTTGACTCAAAATCCAGTAGCATTTGGATTCAAATTATGCCATTTTAGGATGTGCAGAAAGATACCTCATTTAAAAAAGGTGTATTAGCTTGTAATTTTGCTGCAGTCTCCTAAGCCCTAAGTTAAGCAAAATTTGACTTTTTCTATACCCTTTTGGGTTAAAGGACCTGAACTGGGCAAGGCAAGAAAAGGCCAAACAGTGGAACAAGGTGTAGCAAAAACTAGGGATAAAGAGAATTGTTGAAAACATGATAAGCAAAACCAGAAATGAGAGAAATATTGGTGATGGGCATGTGCTTAGAACAGAATTAAGAGATTTTTCAGAGGTGAGAGGTCATGAAATGGGATCTACACAACCTAAACACTGACACTGTCTTTTAACCACTGCTCTGTGCTGTCTCCAGATATTGGAGTGCTTTGCTCATTAAAATTTATACATCTACAAACAAGCAAAACAAAAGGTCCAAAAGCAGATAAACAAACCAATCAAATACTGATGCATAACAGAGTGGAAAATAAAAGGAAAGGTTCCCTCCCTGGCCCCAGCTGTTCATATTTATATTCACTTGGCAAACACTTGAAAGAGTTTCTATCTGATGCATTCGTGAATGTCTGAGGGGGGAAAAAATGATCCTGGATAGATTCATATTGAGATATTGTCATATTTTGTGGCAATCACAACCATCTTGATGATATATTGTATTTCTGTTGTTCTGTGTTTCAGCTACACTATGAGTTTATGGGATGGGAAGGACAAGAATGTGACTTTCAGAAGCTGTGTATTTTAGGATGACCTGTGAAAAGGATTACCATCAGTCCATGGCATGTGGTTTATATCAGAATATAGGGAAGGATACAGGTATTTTTTAAATGTGAGAATGGTATTATCACTTCTGAAATAAGTGCTACAGGGGCACTTTTGTTAAGTAGGAGTGGAAACATGGCCTCGTGGTCCAGCTTTTGGGTAGCAAAACAGGATGTCAGAGACTTTGTTCTACTTGCCCCTAGCACAGTATTTGCATATGAATGAACTGTCTTGAATTTAAATATAAGCCATCCAAAAGAGCTTGTGCTCAGTCCAAACAAAATAAGTAATTTCCCTGAGATCTGAAGAGAAGGTAAATTTATTCATAAAATTATGACTGTGAATTGTGGTTCTGCCACTTATATTTGAGTGTTGAAGACAGCAGTCAAATTTCCTACTGTGACACAAACCACTATTGACAACAGAGAAATGTGTCTATGTGCAAAGCTCTCTGGTATGTATGCTGTCATAAAATTTATTACTGACTTTAAGACAAAGAACATTCTGATTATAGGCACTCCTTGGAAAGGGTGAGTGAAAAAAAAATTAATTCTATTTTTATTTTGCATTTCAGTTAACAAGACAGCCTCATCTAAAACCCAGTTAAGCAAAATATTATATTCCAATTGTTTTCACTGAACACTGGGACCCAGGGTCCTCAGAGACTCAGTTGTTACATACACCAAGGAATATAGAATTCCTGCCCCAAATAATTTGCAATATAAACCTCTGAACCATTAGTGCATAACTGAGACTTTTTCTTTATACCTACAGATATCAAAGCAAGTAGTTGCTTGAGCCTGAGAGCTGAAGGCAGTAGCATTTGGAATCAGAAAAGACAAATGAAAAATGTCTACCATTCACCACTGAGACTTTAAGGAAGTAAACAGAATGATCATTAAATCTTGTCAAGCAAGATCCTCTTCCACATATAAATTTCAAACTTTCAGCCAGATGCAGATGCTGATGCTGTCACTCTAAAAATAAATTCCAAAATTCTGCTTTGAATATTCTGAGTTCCTTGATTTTCTTTTCTTAGAAACATAGGATGATTTAGGTTGGAATGTATCATTGAAGATCATTTAGGCCAATCCGTAAAGGGGGTGGGTGTTGTCCCTAGTCACCCTTAGCAAGAGAGTTTTATAGAAGACAAATTCCCAGGGACACACTGGGCAGTTATGCAGGGATATGAAGAGTATGTCACATTGCTTAATGTGATGCACCACCAATCTCATACAGTTTTGGAGGGACATAGAAGACAACGTGTTTCCAGTGTCAGTATTTGATAGGGTTAGGTTGGTCTGCACTGCTGGTTACAAGTTGCCCTGCTAAAATGATCAAGAAGTATGAAATAAAAAAATACTCAAGAAGTCCTGTTAAAAACACAGCAAATGCATTCCTGATTTTGCTTTTGGTTGTTTATACCTCATGCTGCAGAGGGTGTATATCATATAGATAATAAACACTTGCAAAGAAATGTCACATACCCTGTTGACCATGCAAAGCAATTTGCCGTTCTTGGTTTGTTTTTTTTCTCTTTTTTTTTTTTCTTAGAATTATTTCTCCTGTTTTAATGCTACTTCTGACATCAGATACCAAGTCACCTCAGTCACCAGAAAACCAATGGTTCTGATTTTTCTTTGTTGTCAGTTGGATGTTTGTGGTTTTGCAGTCCTCATTATTAAAGTTCATTCAAAAGCAGCCCAAGGTCAACATCCATCTTTTTACACTCACCCATTTCTAACATTTTCTCCCCTCTTAGTAAAAAAAATTATTCCAGGCCTGCAGAAACTGAAAGACATTGTGGTCACCTCTGTGTGCTTCAAGAGACACAGGAGAGTTGTATGAACACTCAGTTAATGAGAAGGGTGAAATCCTGAGCTCTCCAAAGGCCCTTGAACTTGTCCACTGAGCTCAGCAAACTGCACTGCTGCGTCCAGAGAGCAGTGGTTGCAAAGGGCACACACATGCTTAGGCACAGGATGTGACACCTGCCTTGGGACTCCAGCCATCCAACCACTACTCATGTCTTTATTAACTTACAATTGAATTATTACTCAGCTCTTCTTCTCTGACTATACCTATGAAGCACTCTGAAACTGCTTCTAATGCAGTATTACAAGAAATATATAATACAGAAACAACTTTGATACTAAGCACAAATTGAAGCATTCTAGGCTATATTTTTATATTATAGTTTTGACCTTAGGTAATACCAGTTGTCTTTGAAATTACCACTTGAAAAAAGGACATTTACTTTCACTTGGACTATCATTGGATTTGGGACTGCAAGAGTCTAATCACTCCAATGTCTTCTCTCATCAAAATGTTCCCAGTATTTACACTGAGTTTTTACAGTCCCTTTCACTAACCTTGGACTAATTCATGACCAAATGGAAGGAACTTGGAGTTAGACAGTGGAAAGTCCAAAAATCTCCATTGCAACTTCATCCTGTTATACCTGTATCCAGTGCTGGAGTTAAACACACAAATTCCAAATCTTTGGGAAAAAAAATTGCCACCAGCTCAGTTATGCTAAAAATGCCAGGGCAACCATTCTACGCAGCTTGTTGCCACTACCTGGAAATAAGCAAATTTTCTAACTCTGTTTTCATCTCAGATAACTAGATAAGTTGTAACAGAATTTGGGTAGATTGTGCAGCCACTCAAAGCCAGAGACTGGAATTCTTCACAGTACAAAAAAGCAAACCCCACTGTATTTAATTAGCAGGAAACCCACACTTTTTTTCACTCAATAAAAAGATGCAGATTTGCAAACATAAGTGGTTTGATTTTATTTGATTTGCATTTGTTAGACATGGATGGACATCCATTGACCTGGTGAGGTAGCTTGTGTGTTTTAAGGGATGGTGAGAATACAGCCCCTGTAGTTGCCACTATTGCTTTTATATAAACTGCTCTCATACCTATTGCACTTCTGAATTTGCTTCCCAGCCTACAGAACACACACAAGTTTTAGTGTCTGAATATTAAGAAAACATGTAGATACAGAAGGAGAAAAGCTTTCAAAAGGCTGTTAAGAATGAATAAAAATTACCAGCAAGGTCTTAGCAGAAGCAAATCTCTTTTGGACCAGACTTCGTGCAGTGAGTACTAAGAAACTTATATAATTGGACCGACAGTTTGCTGGTTTCTTTTCCAGCATCTGGTTGTCACTTGAACTACAAGGCAGCTCCAATTATATTTTATAGGGAGCAATTTCATTTTTATAGTTTAGGAATCCTTTGGAATCAGTTTGTGAAAGGAAATAAAATATTTTAAAAAAATAAAAGAAGAAAAAGAAAAGAAGAAGAAAAAGATTGGCTGGCCTCAGAGCTTCTAAAGAGAAAGTGAGATCAGAAATCCTAACCCAGACTGGCTGTTTATAATAGCTGCTACTGGAACTATTAATTCAAAGCAGTGCCCTGAAAATATCTATCAGTCTTGTCCTCCCTGCCCATTTAAGGGGAAAGAATGAAATCCCAACAAATTATTGGGGAGCAGTCCAAAAGTCCCATCTCTCCTCTCTGCACAAGTTAGTGTGCCTCAGGAGTAAAAGACCTCAAATGAAAAATGACTCCTTTTTCTCTTCTAAATAAATCCATCTCTTGGTGCTAGAATGAAGAACAAAATACTGTCCCTCATCCTGAGTGCAACACAACCACTCTGATCTCTTGCTTACAGAAGATGATGTCCAACTCATACAGAGCAGCAAAATTAGTAACACTCAGGGCTTGCTGAGAGTAACCTAATTTTGCAGCATCAGATACCCAGCATCTGTCCTCAGTGAAAGTTTGGGAAATTTCATCTTTGGGAGACTGGAATACACTACCCACATGCTATTCTCAGAGATGTTTTTTGCCTCAAGAATTGATTCCTGCCAGTAACTTTAGTCTGTACAACAGCATTTCCTGGTGCCTCCTATTCTGATCTAAGTTTATTTTGTACAGCACAGTAACTTACAGTGGCCTTTTACCTAAGCAAGGCAGCAGTGGGGAGGTGGGTTGAGCAGGAGGAGGTGCAGCAGTGACAGAAAGATGCAGGGCAATTCAGTCACTCTTTTTTCTGCTGTCAGCAGTGAGACAGTGACAATAACTTACAGCCTGAGCGTCACTAAACACCACTGACCCCTGTCAGGCTGAATTACCTTCCAGGGGAGCATTCAGTTCTATTCTGGCTAATAAAATTTATATTTTAGCACTGTACAAGGGAAAAGTATTGATGGAAATGTGACTGAAAGATCCTGTGATTAAACAAGCTGCTGAATATGAACTTGTGCAGGTTTCCTAGCACAGGTGCAGCTTTACACATCTTTTGCATATCCTGCTTTTGGAGGCAAAAAAAGATTAAGGTTCTCCCTACACTACACTGACATGACACAAAAAAAAGTGTCTTGACATCAGGTTTGCTATATGATGGAAGCATTTCCTATTTGTGTTTTCATATCTAGTTGTCTGTTTTTCTGTAAAACAATGCCTGCACTATCACATTTATGTCCTTCTTGCATAAGAGGATGCATAAATCACTACATGGCCCAGTACTCTATTAATTTGGAAGAAAGAAAGGAAATTTATTTAATTAAGCAAGTGGCATAGTACACTGTTATTACACAGTCAGCTGACATTTTTGTATTAACTATTCACATTCAAATGCTTCTGAATTGTAACAGAAAGCACATTTCCACTAGGTCTTCATATTGCCTTGTCTCAGACAAGTCAGAAAAAAAATCAGATTCTTATTTTCTTTAACATATAGGACAGGTGCCAGCCTTTGCCTCCATCCACTCAGAACCTCAGCCAAATAAGTGGCCTTTTAGATGACTTTACCTGTATTTTTATTTATAGTTTCAACCTTTTCATAGCAGATGTTCACAAATGATAAGCCTATTCTAATAGCACAATGCAGCTTTAGAGTTTCAAACAAAGAATAGTCCCATTGACTCTGACAGCTTTCCATTCCTTTAAATCTACAGCAAGACATACCGAAAAATGTTCCTTCATGTGCAGGCTGTGGTTAATTATCAGAGATGCACATATATTTGTCTAAGAATATTATTTAGTCTTTACCATTTACAGTAATGTTTTGAGAAGTAAGAGCCTGATTTATCCCTGTGCAACCTCTTTCTGTGAATCTGTTAAATATTTTTTGTGCTTTAACCTCTTGGTTCCATTGACAAGCGGTTTTTATTGCTTTCTCTTTATTAAAAAAAAATATTGGACTGAATTTTTTTTGTTTGTTTGTTGGCATTTAGGGTTTTTTTTTTGTTTGTTTGTTTGCTTTTTGTTGTTGCTTTGTTGTTTTTGAGGGTTTTTTTTCAACAGAAGATATGCCATGCATATGTAAGTTCTTTTAAAATTGTAAATCCAGTGCTTTCCTCCTATTCTATTCCCTGATTATTTTTTCCTTAAGCCTTGCAACAAGCTCAAACAAGAGAAACACTTCACAGGATATAGAGAACTCTTTGAAGGAGTCACCTCATGTTTGGAGGTGTGACACAGGATCACAGAAATATTTCACCATTAACTTTGCAAAGATTTACATCAATAAAGAAGCAATTTCAGTAACATTCCTCCAGGGTATATTTTGCAAGTGTCTTACATAATGATAAAATTAGACATGCAATTCTTCATCTGGGTTATCTGTAGAAGCCCTAGTTACCTTTCAGAAAGACAAGTTTCAATAAACACTGTTTCAATGCCTGCTTATGGAATTAAAACCTTTTTCCTATGCTTTCTTTAAACATATCATGTTTCCAGGACTATTTAAAGTGTTTTTCTCCTTAACACAGGTGGAGCTACAGGGAATAAAGACTTCAATACAGCATTTAGCCCCACAATAGCAGCAGTGTTCATGCTACAAGTGAAAGTTGTTTATGCTACTACCTTCCATATTTGAGGAACAGAAAAAACCAAAACTAGTGAGGGGCAGATCTCATCCCCTCATATGCTGCAGGTCAGTGGAAGGCCAAGCTCGACAACTCGGCTGTGATATAACCTTGAATGGAGTAG